GGGGGGGGGGTGGGGGGGGGGGGGGGGGGGGGGGGGGCGCTGAAAATTTGACAAAACATGTATTCAAGTAACGCACTTATTTAAATTGTGTACACATTTTTATCCAGCTCCATCCCCCCCGCCCCCAGCCCCCCCCCCACCTCCAAACCAACCCCGGAGTTATGCCTGAAAGAAACACTGTTGGCTTTGGTACTTAATTCGAGAGATCAACATGAGTATTAGTAATGCACAAATGTACAGTTAAACAATTACTAGAAAATGTTCGAGTATTCAATAAATATATTGATAGCAATTACAATTTCGATAATAGCCTAATAATTCTTAACATTTTTCAAATTATCAAATCCAGTTATAGCTCAAAGCTATTAAATGACCATTTGGGTTACATATAACCTGACGGCTGGGTATTGAAAAATGGGTATTGTCTAAATTACTCAAAACATTTGATTACATTCACCAGCTAATCCCATTCTTTTTCCTTCCCATATTTATTTTGTTACCTGGAGAAATTCAAAAATCAGAGGGAATCAAATAGCCCCCCACTCTTCCCCACTCCAGTGGCGTAGCGAAGGTGTTTGGCGCCCGGGGACAAGATTCGCGCCCGGGGACAAGATCCATTTTAAAGCGCCCCCTTTTCTTTTTTTCAACTCTCAAACCCAAAATTTTACCAATAATATAATATCAAATCACATTTTGGCGCCCCTAACTAGCTTGCGCTCGTGGACATCTGTCCCCCCTGCCCCCCATCGCTACGCCTATGCCCCACTCAGATAGGAAGCAAGCGCTTCCTCCCCACCCCCACCCCACTTTTTCCACCATGTGTGTACGCCCGTGGTATCAAAACCTCTGACAAATGTTTACTACTGTTTTTCATTCATGAAAACTCTAAACAAGTTCAGATATTCATTGTTAAAAAAAAACTTTATTTTGAAATCCCTTATATCAACATCGCTTTTTTTTCTTCGTGTATTTCTGGCTGGGAGGCAAACTCTTCGGACGGCTAATTAAACCCACTTCCCGTCAACCTGTCGAGCCGAAAGTTGGAACATAGACTTGTTGCCGATGACAAAACATTCTTTTATATTTTCAGCCCCACCCCAACCCCCAAAAATCAGAAGCATATTTCGATGTCGTTTCCCCTATAAAAATAGGGGGCGTCCGTTAATTACGTCAACAATTTCTAAGCAATTTCAACCTCCCCCCCTTGTCAACAACTGTCAAACTTTCAATGAAGTAATTATGTCAACATTTCTCTACCCCCCACACCCACCCTTAAAAAAAATTAATTATAATATAAATCTAAATATTATGTTATAAAATTATAAATAAATACATTTTACTTTGTGCTGATATATTTTAATAACACAAAATTGTTGGGAAAACGTGTTATTGCATCTTTAGCTTGTTAATCAACAAGCTAAAATTGTATATCACTAAAAATGATATAACTATTTATTTAATTTACGCTCATTAAATTTGTCAAAATAATGTAATAACCAGTCAATTTTTAAGATGAAAATTTTAAATAGAGAAAACATGATTGTTAAAGTCAACTAATCCACCCGCCCCCTCCCCCCGTCAACACTAGTCAAACATATCCACCATCCCACCCCCTATTATGTTGACATAATTAATGGACGACCCCTTATGTCGTTGGTGCAGATCCTCCGTCCTAAAATAGTAACACTACTCAGGGACCGCACACATATCATCATAAAACGCGAAGGCGGTAGGGGGCGGTTTATCATTTTTTTTTTTATTGTGCTATAATAGGTTTTATTATTTCTATTTTTTGCAAATTGTCTGCTGTTCAATTTTACGAAATAAGCCTAGATTTATAAAAATAAAATTGTATTTTTTGCTTAAAATAAGTAGCAAATTTTAAAAAAAGAAATAATAATATAACAAAATTGCAGATGGTCATGAAAATTGGAACGTGACGCTAAAATTTATTTCAAAAGGCAATAAATTAAAATAAATTAAAATAATAATGATAAATACACGTTTATTTACAAAACTGTAATAGCAGATGAGGGGGGGGGGGGTCAAGGTGGGAAGTGGAAGTGGGATGACATTAAACGAGTTATCAAATCTCATGATTACCTTCACTTTCTTCACTGGTTCATTTAGCAGATTTTCTCCTTTTTTAGTGTACGCATATAATTATCGTTTGACTTGTCTTTTTTTTTTTTTT